CTTTTTAGCTAACATTATTTCTGGTATAAAATATAACAAATATCCAGCATTTAAATGATAGCTCTTTAAGATCCATTTATTGTCAGAATCCAAGTGAAAAGAAAACTTTAAAATATGCCTCTAAAAGCATAAGCTTCCAAGTTGATATAAAAATGCAAGCTACCTTTTCCAGGCACCTTCCACAGATATTCTGATTAAAATATATATATATCTCAGTGGTGAGTTTAACCTTGGAGCTGTCAGATTCTGTCATGAATAATGAACCATGACAACATTCCAACATCCTTGGACAACAGAAAAAAAATCTCCTCTATGCTAAGCAAGGCACAATGTTGTTCCCATTTTCTTATAGAACTTTACCTGCCAAGAAAATGTATGAAATAGGTTGTATTTAAAATTGAAGGAGCAGAAAAATCAATTTCCCCTAATGCTCTGAACTCCATATACAATAGCAAGAAAATATCTGCATATGAAAAATCTTAACTGTTTTCCAAAGAAGCAAAGCTCAGGGAAAGGATCGAAGCTGTTACACATATTAGTGATAATGAGTTCATGGGCACCATTCAGCATGGTAATGTGCAATTCATTTTAATTAAACCACGTGTTGACTGAAAAAAAGATATATACATACAAACTTGCATGTGCACAAACACACTTATACATAATCAATTAAAGAATTACTGATGTCTAATCAGTCAACCTATCTATTAAAATGATTTGGGTGTGATGATTATATACCTCCTAACTGTCATAAATATTCATGAAGGTAGATTAATTCAATCTCTAAGTAATATAATATCTTTGGGGAGGAAAAGGCAAGATTTCCCTAGTACTAAGCCACTGGCAATTTGTAGCCTGTTGTAAGCCAGATTGTTAGAGGCATTAGAGGCATGATGATTGACATCCACACACATATATCTCTCTTAGCAGTAGGCATCTCGTTTAGCTGTGATTTAGATAACACTGGGCTAATTATACCAAATATTACTAGAAAAGAAAAAAAGAAAAGAAACAACTGTGAGTGAAGGAACAAACATGAGGTGAAAATATCACTCTTATGAAGTTTGTGACAAAATAGGTTTCCTATAAAACTAAATTAACCAATGGTAGTGTATTAGTATCCAAAGTGTATGTCAAAGTATAGAGCTGGCAATGTAGTCTCTACATTAGAGATCTTAGTTTGCACAGAATACCATGAGTTTGTTTGGGGTAAAAAGGAGCTCTGATTGCCTTTGTGACATACTCTCAAATGTTCCAAAATGGTCTTTTCTATTGGCAGGGAATGTACCACATAGCAAGGGTGCCTCTAAGGCTGGTAAACTAGTCTATACCTTTTTTATCTTCCCCAAAACAATATGTGAAAGCCTCAATTGACAAAAAGATTATGAACACCTGGTGAAAACTAAGGCATATGGAGAATTACAACTTAGAAGAGAAAAGAATTGAATGCTAAGGAGCATGAATTACCAGATGAAAGGAAAGAAAATAGTTATGTTGAATGTTTGTGAAACTAAGAGAAAGACGAGGGATGAAATAGAACCAAAGGAAGGTGGCCTGATCTTGTGGAATGCAACTGATGAATACATGCAAGGAAATAAAAGTATAGATTTCATTATGAAAGGGCTGAAATATAGGTCAGAAAGTATGAATTGGTGCCATCTAGGTTATTGTTAGGGCAAAGGAAAGTAGAAATCTATAGGGTGGTAATAGCTGCATGTTATACTCCAGTGAACCACGATAATGGAAAAAACAGTGATGAGTTTGGGTAAAAATGCAATATTCCGAATGAATACAATCCAGGGAGAAAATTATTATTTGGGTGACATGAAGAGGTGGGTGGAACAAGGGAGTACAGAAGGTATGATTAGGCTATTTGGAAATCTGAGAATGCAGAGAATGAGTATGCTTACTATTTGACATACTTGGCTATATGCTCAGAACAAGGCCCATTTGTTTTGCCTATATGGGTTAAGCCTCAGCCTATTCATACATGTATATGGAAAGACAATGCATTAAAAGGCATGGTTTATTTCAATTTATTTATGTCATTTATAATGAAAGAAAAAAAGGATACAAGAGTGGTGAGAGGTACTGAATGTAAGGCAGACCATTATTTAGTAGGGTCAAAAGTGAATATTTGTGGGGAAGAAGGACATGGAAGAAAAGGAGAGAAGGAGAAGGAGAAGGAGAAGGAGAAGGAGAAGGAGAAGGAGAAGGAGAAGGAGAAGGAGAAGGAGAAGGAGAAGGAGAAGGAGAAGGAGGGTCAAAGACATATGACTGCAAAAAAGTGCACGTCTTGTATGAAAAAAAAGTTAGAAAATAGAGGAAATATGCCTTTCCAACATAATGAATGGAAAGTGATACAAGGAAAGAGGATGTGGAAGTTGCTTGGAACAAAGTGAAAATAATTATATTACAGAGTGCCACAGAGGTACAGTAGCACTAAATGGAAGGACAAAAAGGATGAAAAAGACAGAATAACAAAAGAGGATGTGCAATATGTGTTTGCGTGCACGCATGCGTATATATAAAAATTACAGCAAAAAGTGAGGATAAAAGTAAAATACTGCATTATGTGCACAGACAGAAAAAGTGTCAAAGAATATAGTCAAAGAAAGCAGGGAACATTAAGCTTAAAACAGGCAGAGAAAATGCAGAGCAAATTTTGATGGAAGTATGGGTGAAAAAGGCTAATCAAGGAGCACCAACCAAGTGAATAGAACTAAAAATAAAAGTGATGAAATTATAAGGACACTGTGGGAAATGTTTGTGTTTGCTCCAATCCCTTAATAATCTGAATTTAAACTTACTGAATGGTTCTATGCTTGCTGATTATCCAACAGAATTTTCTCACTGGCTTGGCTCTGATCTCTCCCTAATAGATTATATAACAATTTGGCAAAAAATTATCCCTTTTATTCAGAATATGTTTATAGATAGTCCTGGTAGTGATCACTTTCCAGGAATTTTATTTACTATTCAAATTCCTGATAATACTATTTCTTGATTTGACCCCTATTATCATAGAGGAAGATGACCTTTGCCCTATCCATATGAAACAGTCACCCCGACAGGGAGAAATGGTTTTTAACATTTTAAAATCTGAGCCAGCTCATCAGATTTACTCCACAATTGTCATCTGCTCTGGGGAGCCAATTTCAAGCTATCTCTCTAATGTAATCCACCTACTTCAACCTGCTGTTATAGCAGCCACAGCCCCAAAGACCAGAGATCAGACTTTTCACACACAGTATTGGTTTGACTTAGATTGCCTCAAAGCTAAGAGAGCTCCAACCAGGCTTTTTAACAAATGCACGAAAGATCCTTTTATGTATTCTATTCATGATCTATTACTATAAAAACGTCAGTGTGAGCAACTAAGTCCTAAGAAGAATAGGGAATTATTTGGGATGAAACTGAAGTGAGGGGATGGTGGAAGGAGTATTTTAGAATTTGTAGGAAATAATACTGATATATCAAAGAGTAAATGCCATAAATGTTAGTGCTCAGGAAGAAAAGGAAGAAAAGGAAGTCAGAGGAGCTATAAGAATGTTGAAAAATAGTAAGGCTATAGGAGTTGCCAGTGTTCAACTCTGAACATAGAGTAAAGCAAAAATATGTGATGACCTCTTGGTTGTTTCTTATATTCATGGGTAAATTTATAATGAATTCTTGGAGACAAGAAGGTGTGCATATTTTGTATGCAGTATGTTGTTGGCTAAGAATGTGAATGATTTGCAAAAAATATTAGATGGAATCTTTGATAAAACAAGGAGCATGGATCTGAAAATTAATGTTATCAAAGATAAAGGTAGTTGTGTTTGATATGAAAAATAAGAGTGAATGATTGCAAATTTTACATAAATTGCAAAATATCAGAACAAGTAGATGAACTGCTGTACCTTCATAGAATATTTCTTAAAGATGGAGAACAGATAGACAAGTGTTAAGATGTGCAAGTACTGGGAGAAAACTACTAAGTAGCATTTAGTCTGCTAAAGAAATGAATGTTTACCAAAAGAAGAAAAATAGCTATATAAGAGTTTGCTTCTGTCCATTTTGTAAAAAAAAAAAAAAATCTGATGGATTTTCTAAATGTAGCAAGGATATATACTGATTTTATATACTGACTTGCTCTTCAAGAAAGACAAGAGGTAGATTATGTCAATGTGAGGCAGTGTGCACAAAAGAGTGATGACAAATGATTCATTCATACCTTATTTAATTGAACAAACAACTTTTCCTCCGAGTGTGACTTTGCTATTTTAAACAAATTTGTTAAATGTTTAACCAATTTTTAAAGAAAGTTCAGAGAATATGGAAAATAATGCAACATTTTAATACTTCATACTGCTCTGTTAAAGAAAAGCACTTACTCTTGAAAACAAACAGTGGATTTCACAAAAGATTTTGAGAACTCTGCTCATCTGATACAGAATATCCAAAAACAGTCACAAAAACTGAGAACAAGATTAGGAGAAGGAAGGAAAAGAAAGAAGTAGATTAAGGAGTTAAAACATTAGGAAAAACTAAACATTAATGGTGCTTCAAGTAGCGTACGTTCCAATAAAACAATACATAAAAATTTAATGTCAGAATATTAACACATTTATCAGTCTTGAAGACACAGGAAAAATGAAGCGGCAAAAGTAATTCTGGAAATTATACATAATTCTGCTCCAAATAGACACTTGCATTAGATAGAGCCACTATTTTGCATGGATCTTTAGACAGAGGTGAGACTCCAGAATGCAAACAACTGCCATTGGGGGAAAAAAATCCTCCCAAAGGATCATGGGAACACAATGGTTTCATGGTAACACAAATAGACATGGATTTAGAGACTGGTAGAGCTGAGAACAGGGAAAGAAATCTATCCCTTTTGAATTTCTCACTCACTTATCTAGATTGTAAGTATTATTTGGAAAGTAACCAGAATCTAAGTTACTCCAAGTGTTCCTTTAAATATCTGCAAGTACACAAACTATGGTTCTGATACCAGTAGCCTTTAGGCTTGCATGAGACTCACAGCTTATCCACACTGCCAGATTGTCTCACTGCCAGAACAGGACAGCAACTATTTTCTGAGGGTAGAAATGGATGTCAGCCTTTCCTCGTGTCTCTCCCACTGCCAGATTGTCCCACTGTAAATTGCAGATGTGCCTTTAGGTACTACCTTCAGCTGTCATACTGTGATTAGCACATGCAGAACCTACACATGCTTTTTAAAATAAAGGCCATATAGGAAGACGGTGATTTGGACCACAGAAATCATGGGCAAGTAAAAGGTCCCCCATCTACCCTGACCCTTACTGGCTCTTAATCCCAAAACTAGTTTAATTAATTCAAGTCCACTATAGACGTGTGCATGTAAGATGGAATAAATTTGATATGATTAAAAAAACGTTTTTCACACACTAAGGATCTTACTTCTGAGGCATGGAGAATTCAGACTGAGGTCACACTGGAATAGGCAAATCATTTTCTTCTTTAACCTACCTTGCATAACTGTTGTGCAAATAACAAATTATTGTAAACCAGCCTGAGCCATGAGGTGAATCCTGGTCTTCGCCTGCCCACAACAACTTATAACAGCAACTGGTTGTCAGAAACATACCTTTCTCATAGTCATCCTCAGCTACTGCTTTCTCCTGAAGCTTCTGAAGTTTTCTCATTAAGGATTTTATCTGTATTAATTAAAAGATCATGAGCAAAATTCCTGTATGTTGCTTTGAAAAATTGTGATCTAACATTGCATATCTGATCGTAACAGTTCAAATGCTTTGATTTTATCCCACTTGGCCCACCTATTTCTGAGGACATTTCTGTCACCCACAGAACACACAGGTTTCAAGAGCACACAGAATAGACATAATGATATAATAACATAATATATTTATATGAAGATGTAAAAATCAATCAAGTTTCCCATTATTCACAAATTCACAAAATCAAACATAGGGCAAACTGCTTATTTTGCACATCTTGAGACTTGCAGGCATCAACCAGGAAATCTTAGGTCAAAAGGTAATAATTCCATTTAAGTAGGTTCACCAGCAGCAGAGGCAGCCTTCTATAAGACTGGGCAGGTGGGATACAAAAGCGATGGAGGAAAATATACAGCAAGGAGACTGGGAGAAAACTAAAATGAGCTTGAAGGGCAGCAAATATTATAAACTACTGGCAGAAAGAGAGTAGCAAGGCTCAAGATATTTGGAAGACAAGTCAAGGAGGCATTAGAGAACTTATTTTGCTTGCTAATTATAACCAACCAACATTTTCATAACCATCTTCTCAAATCCCCAGTAGAAACACTCCCGAAAATAAGCATTACAACAGCTACTGCATTGCTTTACGTTGAATGTATACATTTGTTTAAAATTCTATCGCACAAAATAGGCACAAAGAGTACTCTAACCTTTATTAAACGTTGATTGCCCATCAAACATTCCTGTAATACTGGTTCATACTCCTTCATCAGAAAATCCCAACTGTGGTCACTAGCAATGCCACAACTCTCATAGCCTGAAGTCACAGAAGAATCAGCAGATGTTGCCTCTAAAGAATCCATGGAACAGGAAAATGCATTATTTGCATGGAAAGGTGAGAGCCTCCCACCGTCCTGCAAGCTGTCATCCTCTGCAGCTTCCCAGGGACATGTGCAAACTTCATCACACCGAGAGCTATATGAAGCCCACAGTTCTGTTTGTGAAGTTCTTAGGCCTTCTCCAGGTACGTGGACATTAATACTTTCTGTTTTCTCTACTCCACATAGTTGCACAGTTTCTTTAAGTTCCCTACCTCCTGATGCACCTGCAATACCACGTGCTTCAGAGGCTGAATTTAGTGAGAGCTGGATGAAACTAAAATTTGAATGAAAAGAATCCTGAAGACAGGAAGGGCCATAGGACATGTCTTTGCTTTCAGGCTCCTGGTTGTTCTCTTCCTCTTGATGCAGAGCACACAATCTTTCTTTCTTCTGTGAAGTAGTACCCTCAGAAGTCTCCTCCACAGGGTCTAGCAACTTGCCCGGCCATGCAGATAAGCTACGTGCAGGTGAGACATCTCCTTTATGGTTGGCAATCGCAGGATAATCAGTTAAGATTGCTGCATGGGCCTGAGACATTCTGTTGTATTTCTGGCAGCAAGAAGTCTAAACAGCACACAAGAAATAGAATAATCCCAAGACAGTTTCACATTGTATCTTCAAACAACAGGACAAGTTCCTTATTGTGTGCTGTGCTGGTTCACTGTCAGAAGGAGGATGAAATTAAACTTCTTGCAGGACCCTGGTTGCCTTTGCCACCTTCTCTTAAACCTACAGGCGTTGAAAAATCTTGGATCTCTAAAATAAATAGAATGGGAAAATGGTCACAAATGTATTTTGCCACATAAGAGGGCAGCCTTCAAAACCATTACTAACTTGAGAAAGTCACACCATACTCAGTGGAACTGCACACATTAGATCTTCTTGTATTCTGTTGGAAAAAAAGCAGGACTGCAGAATTGAGGTCCCGGGGTTATAGAGACTTCAAAATTAGTAATTAATAAAATGTGTTTTTTAATGAGATAGAAAGGGGACATTATTAAAAACAGGTCCTGACAATGATAATTTAATTCTTTAATTTTTATTATATTTAAAGCCAAATAAAATGTACTTGCTCTGGTCTCACTCACTACTTTTGGGGATTTGGTTCCCAGCATATCACTTCAAGGCCTCAGCCTGGAAAAAGCTATATCTCCTTGTTCTAATGGATTGCGCTATGCTTTTCCCCAGAATTTTCCATTTTCAATTGTTCACATTCAGTTCACAATTCATTTGTACTATTATCAAGCATATCAACAGACATATATATATTTTAAGCTGCTTCTTATCATGCACTGCAAATGGAACTTACAGAAACAACATGACAGGTAATAAACCAATGAAACTAATTCTAAATAGTCTGAATACCCATTTTATCCTGACTGTGTCCTACATAAGCAAATGAGGCCTTGAAGTGATATGCTGGGAACCAAATCCCCAAGTCTGAATACCCATTTTATCCTGACTGTGTCCTACATAAGCAAAACTATTGTGCAAAATAAAGATTTGAAATAATGGGTTTAAAGAGATTGATAGCAAGCACTGCAATATTCTGACTGACATTTTTGGATTGTAAATCAAAGAATTATCCACATGATCTATTTTGTTATATGTAAACTATGGTATTAACATCAGTGTGATGTGAGATTAAAAGAATTTGATTCATATGCATAGACATTCCTTACAATACAATTTGAAGCAAGGATATTGCATTATAATAAGCTATATTATATTATTGTATTGTATTATAATAATCTACACATACACTAACATACCTGATGGAAGCCTTAGAAGTGGACTGTAGCCCACAAAAGTGTGACGGTTACAACAAATGGAGATGATTCAAGCTTCCTTCTTTGTAAAGGCATATAAGGCCAAATTTGAAGATCTGCCCCAACTCACAGAGTACAAATAAATCAATTTCTACCCAAGGCTTCAATGTGCCTCTTTACCATCATTTTAGGGCTTCTCCAAACCTTTTAGGCATGTGAACACAAATCTGCCTTATCACGGAATCCCAACCTGTGTGATAAATGCTAGTCTCTCTCCAGGGTTCCACAAAGATGATTTAACCTGGTAGAGGTCTTTTTAACAGCCTTAAACCCTCATCCTGCTGGCTTCCAGGCAGTCCAAATGCCTCCAACCTCAGACATACAAACTGCTAGGCATATACACCCAGCCATCTCCAATTCTCCCATCACCTCAATTCATCCTTCTCAATAGCCCCAGTTAGAGAGTCACTGGGCCATTCCTCCAGCTGCAGCAACTTCTATAATTCCTACCATTTCAACAATATTCTTTGTCATAGAACTTGGATGAAATATCTCTAAGAAGCAAACAATGAACATCTGACAAACTTGAGTCATCACTTTCTTGTCATGGCTGCGATAGAAAAGGGAAAAATATTGTCATATCTAATTTTTTTAAAGTATCTTTTCCTCAACTTTGCACAGTCTCCCCTTATTTTCAAATGCCTGGTGCTATAGAAACTTCCCTTACCACATGACTCCATTAAGAGGTAGGCAGGCTTGCTGGATACCATCTATTCTCAAATATAAACACCACCAATTAAACTGAAATTCCCCTTAAGAGAGCTTCAGAGTCAAGTTATAGAATGAAGTCAGCAAATGAATGAATTGAATTAGTGCATTCAATAAAATCAGATGTAGGCTTGCTATGAGTCAATACAGTATACAGATGCTGTTCCAGAGACCACTGTTATACTACTTCAGGTTTGTTTTTTTAAGATCACACATACCAAAAGGAAATTAAACAATTACTTCCCTTCATGTCTGTAAAATATAAGAATTCATCCCTTTATTCTTGCCTGAAAATTTTTTTGCTCCTTTAATTTAGGTTCCCTTGAACCATGTCCTAACGGCTGCTATAATAGCAACATGCACATTCAGAAAAGCAATGACACTGGATATTTTGGAAGCAGGAGAAACACCAGCTGGTAAGTGGCTTCATGTTTTTCACGCTACTGTAACTAGAAGAAAGATCCTTCTGTAAGTTTCCTATTCCCAGAAGATACCATCTGCTGTAATTAGCTTTAGTGTAAGCAAGCCAATTGAATGTTTTGGTTTTAATTGTAGGCTCATTTTATTGTGCTGACCTCTAAATACTTAACAGAATTCAAGACTTTAGTGAGAAACAGCATCTACACCAGGAACTGGCATGAAACATAGAAATGCATTCATCCTCTAATCATTTCTTCCCAGTTCGTTCCCCTGTTTCCATGGAATTTAAGCACAACATTAAACATTAAAATCTTTGGAAAAAAGCACAGAGTTGTCAGTGTTGATTGATTCATCCAAACCTGCTGGTTTGTGCAACAGCAGCAATGCAGGCCATAGTCTGAAGACACATGATGCGACAGATCTGGACTGATTAGCACTTAGATGGAAGAGCACTTGGGAAGGCTATATAAGTTACTCTGAGATCCATGGAGGAAGGGTGAATTATAAATTAAATGTACATGTTTGAAGTAGCTCTTATCTACAACCCAATAAAAAGAATGCAATTTTTATTCTTGTGTGGCCTACATTTTTAATGCTAGACTCCTCATATTCTTCCAAATCTCTTTCCATTTTCTAAACACAAATGTATACAGGATTTACGAACAGCTAAAACATAACTATTTGTGCAGTGATAGTGTACTTTTATTGTTTTCTTTACTATTTAATTGCAAAAAAAAATATGAACAATAACAACTTCACTCATTAGAGTATCTGTGGGCTATTTGTTTTAAAATACATAATTAACATAACTAAATTATGCCCAGCCCTTCTATCAGATTGCTGAAATATCCACTAATACTAGTTCAACAAATAGTTCTTAATAAAGTAAGAGCAGTAAAGTAAAAGATGAAGAATTCATAATAAAAAAAGGAGTGGCATCAGAGACATGGGCAATGGATATAGGGCTCTGCAAGACCAATTTATCACAAGAAAGGAACAATTTGGTTCACATCAGTGAACAACTGGAATTTTCAAATAAAATTGCTAAATTACATCAGCTTCACATACTACAACATACCTTAACAAGTGCAGTTTTTCTACCATTTCTCAGAATAAGACACAAGATTTTGCAACTACAGTGTGGCCCACTTGCCAGAATACCAGATATAATATCCCTTCCTCATAGTCCTAATAATCTATAGGGTATAAGGAATAGGTTGGTGTTTGCTCACAAATAACACACATAGGTCTCAGCTCCTTTTTCAATAGCAACAACAGTTGTTATTCTTTTTAACAAAATATTATACGTACCAGGAAAGAGAGACCAAAGCACTTAACTTTTTGGAAGGAAATACCATACACTGACATAGAATTAGAGATATAATTAGAATTTGTAAGAGGAGAGCCGTGTTAGTCTATGGTAGCCAAAAAAATCAGGAGAAATCTGATAGTACCTTTTCCGACTAACACATTTTATTGAAAGGCATAAGCTTTTGTGATTCATCTGATGAAGCGTGTTACAGCCCACAAAAGCTTATACCTTTTAATAAAATGTGTTAGTCAGAAAAGGTGCTATCAGACTCCTTCAGATATAATTAGGAAATAAATATTCAAGTTTGAAGTATAGATCCTTTCCAGAGACTGCATCTTGATGTGGTAGGAGGGCTCAGTAGCTTCACTGACCTCGAGAGCAATGCTGGCAGGAACAGGAACTCCTGGTAGAGTTATCCTTGTCAGGAAGGGGAGGGGAGTTAAGAGTATTCACAGTAGGTGTGAAGCAGGTGGGGCTCTGCAGAGATGAGGGATGCCAATGCACCTGGGAAAAGGAACTCCAAAATCAGATGCAAAAGAAGTCAACAGCAAACTACTTCTCTCAATAAAATTGTACAGACATGGTTGTAACATTTAAATGAGCCAAACAGGTGACTTAAACAGGTGACTTGAATGCAACATTTGGAGAACTAGAGGAACCTGGAATCACAGGAAACTGAACTGGATTCAGAATATAGGTTAATCAAGTTTGCAAAGACAACTCTTTGCTTGTTGTCAACATCTGCTTCATAAGTGCAGATTCTATATAAACATCACCAAATGAGCAACACCAGAATCAAATAAATTACATCAGAGGTTGTCAAACTTTGCAATACCAACCCCTGCCCCCCTAAAATGATAAATGAATTTCTGTGACCTCCCTCCTCCCATTAATAAAACGAATAATTTTGTTGGAGTTAGGGTCGGGTAAGAAATAAACATATTATTTACTTTTTGTAATTAAATTGATTTTTTTTCTTCCTAGCATTTTTCCCGCATGAGCAGGGTCTGCTTTTTTTGGACCAACCAAAGTCACCCAGCCAGCTTTCATGACTAAGGCAAGACTAGAATTCACAGTCTCCTGGTTTCTAGCCTGGAGCCTTAACCACTAAACCAAAGTGGCTCTCATTGATTAATAATTAAATCATCAATTTAATCAATTCATTAAATTGAAACTATATATATCAAATAAAACAATGACATAACTTCGTAACTTTATAAAACAAAACCTTTTCATTAGAAATAAGCAACACATAAATTTAAAACCATATTCAAAGGGAAACATGAGCTTCCTTAGTTTTGCTTAATTCCTGAAATCCTGTTTTTGAAACAGCTACTCTCATTTCTCATGCCACATGTATTTGGATCAATATTTGCTCCTTATAGTGACATCTATAGAAAATTCTGAGTTTGCTGCCAACTTATCCAGGGAGAACAGGAGCAAATTCAGATAGCAATCCAGTTGGGGATGCTTTTGCCATGAGACTTCCACACCCAAAGCTGAAGCCCAGTTAGAATTTGCTGTGGGCTTTGCTTGGACAATCAGGAGAGTGGGAACAAATTCTGATAGCAATTCAGCTTTCTCTAGACTTTGCTTGGACAGAATAGATGCCATCTTGTCCAGGCAAAGTGGGAATGAGCACTGACAACGATCCTGCTTTTCATACGCAAGCACCACCCAATTATGACCCCCTTATAAATTTGATAACCCCCCAGGAGTGTCACAACCCACAGTTTGAAAACCTCTGGACAACACAGTAGGAAACAGAAGATGGAGAATTACCTTTGCTTCACTGACTATCAAGCCTTTGGACTGTACATCATGCCAGAATGTGAAGTACGTTAAAGCTACTTCGTATGCCAAAACATCTAATTATTTTTCTGAGGAATGGCTGGTGTGGGTCTTCCGGGCTATGTGCCGGTGTTCTGGAAGTTTTGTTTCCTAACGTTTCGCAAGCACCTGTGACCGGCATCTTCAGAGTGCAGGAGC